TTAGGGGCTGAGGGCCTTTTTCAGGCTGGCAGGTGACTGAAGTTCCCAACCTCTCTTTTTTTTTAAATTTTTTTTTCAGGGATTTATTCACCTTCTATGCTGTATCTGGAGCTGAGAGCCAGCTTTAGCTCTGTGGCTCGGCTCCAGCTCTGAGACCTCAGCTGCTGAAAGCAGGTATCTGGGTTTTGTTTAGCTTCTATAATTGAAACACTGTTGCAACTCCAGCTCTGAGGCCCGGCTGGCTGAAAGCAGGTTTCTGAGGATTGTTTAGCTTCTATAATTGCAACATAGTTGCTTAGAGTGCAACTCAAAGCTGGGCAGCGGCAGGCAGGGAACCTTGGCTTCCTCCATCACTGGAGCAAGCAAGCCTCCTGTTTACTTCAGCTGCCTGGCTGCCGGCCGCCATCTTGGTTGGCAGTTAATTTGCATATCACCCTGATTAGCCAATGGGAAGCATGTCAGAGGTATGGTTAATTACCATGTTTGTCTGTTATTAGATAGGATAATTGACATATAACATTGCATAAATTTAAAGTGTACAACATAATTATTTGATATATGTATGCAGTGTGAACTGTGTACCACAATAAGGTTAGTTAACACATCCATCACCTCACATAGTAACAAATATTTTTTGTGTGTGTGTGGAGAGAACTTTTAAGATTTATCTTAGCAACTTTTAGATATAAAATACAGTATAATTGAGTAATAGTTACCATGCTGTACATTAGATCCCCAGGACTTATTTATCTTACCACTGGAATTTTTTACCCTTTGATTATCTTCCCTCATTTTTCCCATCACCTGCCCCCCCACCCCTGGCAGCCTATCTATTCTCTGTTTCTATTGAGTTTGAGTTATTTACGTGGAATCTAATGAACAAAATAAACTGATGAACAAAATAGATCCAGAGACATAGAAACATGGAACAGACTGACAAATCTCAGAGGGTAGGTGGGGGTGGGTGGGTAGGTAGGGAGAGATTACCCAAATAATTTATATACATAACCCATGGACACAGACAATAGTGCAGTGAAGGCCTGGGGAGGGGTGAGGGTGGAGTGGAAGGGGGTTTGTGGGGAATAAAAAGGGGACATCTATAATACTCTCAACAAGAGAGATAAATTTTTAAAAATAAAGAAAAAAAAAGACATTTGGCTTTTTGGTAAAGGTGAGATTTGATTGTCTGCTTTTTGGGATTAAAATTTATTTGAAGGGAGTTGTCCTCACAGGTTCCCTATAAGAAGGTTACTATTTCTTAACTTATTAAAACAAATTATTTAATCTAGTTTGTTTGAAAAAATATTTAAAGTAAAATACATTTTAAAAAGCAGTAGAATAAAGGTTATCAGTAGCTTGGTTACTTTATTTGAAAGCTTCCAAAGGAAATTTTGGTGCTAGTGAGTTTGAAAATGTCCCTTGAAATAATTTTGCTAAGTCATCACGTTTTTAACATATTTTAAAAAATGTAATCTTAAGTTTGCTACGTTTATAAACTACCCTTTTTTAATTATCATTGGTTTATATCAGGAGTGTTGATAGCCTGAAATCGATTTGTCTATGAGAAGTACATTAAAGTCTATTTCTTCCTAAGTGTATCCCATATTTATCAGCATAACTTTTGTTACCAAGTGGTAACAAAAATATTTTTAATATTTTTTAAACATTTTATTTTTATTGATTTTAGAGAGGAAAGGAGAGGGAGAGATAGAAACAGCAGTGATGAGAGAGACTCATTGATTGGCTCTCTCCTGCACACCCTCTTCTGGGGATCGAGTGTGCAACCCGTACATGTGCCCTTGACGAGAATTGAACCCGGGACCCTTCAGTCCTCAGGCTGACGCTCTATACTGAGCCAAACCATCTAGGGCTAGAACAGTTTTAGATTTATATAAAAATTGAGAAGATACTACATAGAGTTTCAGTATACCTACACCCATTTTCCTCTGTTAATTAACATTTTACATTAGTGTGGTACATTCGACAGTTAATGAACCAGTAATAAATAATACATTGGTATTAACTAAAATCCATAGTTATTCAGATTTCATTAGTTTTTATCTAATGTCTTTTTCTGTTCCAGTATCCCAGTTATAATACTGTGTTACATTTATTTTTCATATCTTCTTAGGCTACTCTTGGCTGCGACAGTTTCTCAGACTTCCTTTGTTTTTGATGACTTTTTCACAGTTTTGGGGAGAACTTGAGTATTTTGTAGGTACTCCTCTATTGGAATTTGTCTGATGTTTTCCTCATGATTAGACTGGTGTTACAGGTTTTTCAGAGGAAAATCATAGAGGTGAAGTTCCATTTTCAACACATCATATCAAGGGTAAATACTATCAATATGACTTATCAACTGTAGACATTGACCATGACCACCTGGCTGAGATAGTGTTGTCAGGTTTCACTGGAAAGTTACTCTTTTTCCTCCTTTGTCATACTGTTCTCTTTGGCAACAGTTGCCAACCGGTAGTCCGCGGACCACTGGTGGTCTGTGAGGTCTGAAAGATGGGCGACCGCTGCTCTTTGGAAGGAAGCTTTATGTGCAGGCCTACTTAAGGAGTGGGACGTTATGCTCTATCTACTTCCTGGAGGGCAAAGTATCTATATAAAAATTATTTGGAATTTTTCTGCAACGGATATGTATTTATTTATTCAATCACTTGATATCAGTATGGACTCATGGGTATGGATTTTATATTTTATATTATAGTCCACTGCTACTTTATTTTGTTTCTCAAATAGTTCCATTTTTGGTCATTGGGAGCCCCCTTCCCTCTTTTTTTTATTGACTAAAGTTTTACATAAGTCTCCCTTTTCCCCAATTGACTGCCCCAGTGTCTGTGTCCATTGGTTATGCTAAAATATGCATGCATACAAGTCCTTCGGTTGCTTTCTAACCCCTCCCCCTCCTGCCCCCCACCCTCCCGGCCTTCCCGCTGCAGTTTGACAATCTGTTTGAGGCAGCTGTGCCTCTGTATCTATTATTGTTCAAAAGTTTAAAATGGTCTCTATTATCCATGAATGAGTGAGATCATGTGGTATTTTTCCTTCATTGACTGGCTTAATCACTTAGCATAATGCTCTACAGTTCCATCCATGCTGTTGCAAATGATAAGAATTCCTTCTTTTTTACAGCAGCATAGTATTCCATTGTGTAGATGTACCACAGTTTTCTAATCCATTCAT